ACAATCCATCAACCAGGGCTACACAAATTAACCAGCAGCATGCATATGTTCTCAAAATGCCCAAGGAACTATCTACCTTCTCAGCTACAAGCACAGAGGCAGGTAATAATACTGACAGGAGCAGTGTCTTCCATTTTCAATATGAACAACCTGGACATAAGAAAAACATTCTATTTGGGGCACATCACAGAAACTCCCAGGAACCTAGGACTTAAGAGGAAAATTTTAGGGCCGGGGATTTAGCTCAGTGGTTCCACTCCCTGCCTCACAAGCACAAGGTCCCGAGTTCAATCCCTGGTACCAAAAAAAAAGGAAAATTACAAAAAAAAAAAAAAAAAAAAAAAAAGAGGGAATAGGGAATAGATAGTAGGTATTAAAAATAGTAGGTATTAACTCAAGGGCTGTGGATTTAGCTCAGTGGTTCCACCACCTGCCTCACAAGCACAAGGTCCCAAGTTTGATCCCCAGTAATAAGACAAAACAAAACAAAACTCAAAAAATTAACTTTCTACAATATTCTAATTACAAAAATCTGAATATTCAAACTTTATTTTCTGGACTAAAACAATGAATGTTCAGTGTTGCAAACAGTGTTGTGACTGAAGGGACATACATGATAGGATGGGGTGACCTGTGTAGTAGAAAAGGGTGATAAGAGAAAGTTCTGCCATATATAAGAAAAATGGGGCAAATTTAACTTTGAATCTCAAAATTCAGACAGCCTTATGATCTGATCAAATAAAGAGGCCTTTGTAGTATAGAAAACAGTAAAGAAAGCATCCTAATTGCTCATTGCTAGAGAGAGGTGACAGGAGTGCCAGTAGGGATGCAAACACCTCTGCAGCCAGCCAGCTGGGCTAACTGGACACCATTAGGTAACAGGTATGAGGAAGTCCCACCTTGCAGAGAACTTTGGCCATCTCAAATGTGCCCACAGTATCCATATTGGCAGCAATGATAGGGATGCCAGTGTACATCTGCTTTGAGTTCCGAAATGAAAAGGATCTTGTGAGATCCACCTACAGATATGAATAGAAAACAGGCATGTTATTCATCCATAAAACGAGTGTCACACTAGGACAAGAACCAGGCAGCTTTCTTGGTCCTGTCTGGCCCACCAGGTGCATAAAGAAAAAAAATTTAATTTAAAAAGTAGAGAAAGAAGCTGGCTTACCTCACTTCGAGACTTGAGGGTGCTGCGTTTGGGCCTCAATAGGACATCCTTGAAATCCAGTTTCAAATCGTTGTCGATATGAGGCATGGCTGGGGACCAAAAGGTGCCACAAACTTGGGCAATGGAAGGCTGGAAGTCAGAAAGAAGGACTTGAACAAATAGCCCTGCAGCCTCTTGGGCTGCAGGCAGGGGCCCCTCTCTCCGCTTAGCTGAGGAGGACAGGATTGTAGGTCAAGGTGTCCTCCCTGAAGCCTGTGGCCAGGCCCATTCTGTAGCCGCGACTCCCCTTGATGCGTCCATCTCAAGCACTAACTGGCAAGCTCAAGGACCAGAGCTCGATCCCAGGTACCAGCAAAAAACACACACACAAAAAAAAACAAGTACTAACTGTTAGCAAGAACTGAGATGGGGTTGCGAGTGTACCCGGGTACGCCTCCTCCTCCTACCCCTGCGAAGACAAATTTGGAGTAAAAGCATGATTTAGGAAGTCAAAGGAATAGTAAGGCTCAGCTTCTGGCACAGGGGTACTCACTTCCTATAGCCTTAGCCAAGGTGGCAGTTGACCAAAAGATCCCGCCTCTTAGCAACTACCCTCGTGCAACTCCGCTAAGCCTTGTGGGCCAAACCAACAGATTCCGCTAACTGCCTTCAGGAAGGCTAACTGAGGAATTCCGCCTCGGGCGACGGACCTGCTTGGTGTTCTGGGTAACAGAGTTCACACACAGGGGTTGTTGTTGCATCCGAGCGGCGGTAGACTACAAGTCCCAGGGTGCAAAGGGCGGAGCTGCCTTCCGGCATGATGGAAGAAGTGGTCCTATCGGTCCCAGCTTCTTGCTACTCTTGGATGGGTACAAACTCAGGATCTTGGGCGTCATCACTGCTGTAACTAAGGTGGCTACCTGTTTTTGTATTTACGAAGGCACTGAAACATAACGAGAGATCATCCCCGAGTGGTGAAGTCTGTTGAAAGAAGGGGAAGGTGGAGCCACAGCGTGACCCGGAAGCAGAAGTGACTTTCGTAGGCGTGCTGGGAAGCAGCAGTTCTGCCCGCAGCGGGAGACGCACCAATTTATCAACTTACAGCCTCAACAGGGAAAGAAGATGCTAATTAAAGTGAAGGTGGGAGAATTTTCAAGCTTGCCAAAAGTCAGTGTTACCGGGCTGGCCTCAGCGCCTGACGGGAGAAGCGGGGACAGCGAAACCTCTTCTGAGCCCCGAGGGCGCTGACAGCCTCAGGATGCCGCGCGGGGCGCAGTGGGAAATAGGGGGACCCCCGGGAGCTTTGAGAGCTGCGAAATAGCCCCGCTTGAAGAGCCTGGGTCTCTGCGGTCTCTGCTTTCTCGCCAGGACTGCCACGACCCAGAAGGAGACTGTTTTTGTCCGGGCTTTCAGTTTTTCGAACCCCCGCAGCCAATAGAGAAGGCCTAGCAGCAGCTTGGCTTCCCAGTCTCTCGGATTCTTGGAAAATGCTCTGCTGCCCTCCATTCTTCTTTCTCAGGTCATCATCGGCTTCTCTCAGCCCTTAACATAGGCTGCCTCGAGCGTAGCGCTAAAATATTAGTCTGAGAAACTGGTCCCTCCCAGGTGCTAGGATAGGAGATTTTGCTGATGTAGTTGCCAAGGTATGATATCACAATCACCTTTCTCAAGCCAAACCCGAGAGTATGCTCAGTCAGTTCCTGCCTTTCTGAACAAGGCATCCAGAACCAGCCTCATTTCCTTAACTGAAGCCTGTTACCGATGCCCTAGTTCTTAGTGCTAACTTAGAACTATGGGCTCTTCACCGGCTTTCATCCATCAGCCTTATCTGCTTTTTTGGAACTTTAAGGGGGGCACCCCGACAACTGATGTATTTAACACTAGTTTGGCCTTTTTATAGCTATTTAAGTATCATTTTGTCAACTCTTTTCTATGTATAATAGCTTTTTTTTTTTTTTTTTTTTTTTTTTTTTTTTTTTTTTTTTTTTCCATTGAACTCACTTTGTAGCTTTCAGTGATCCTGCCTCGGCCTCCGGAGTGCCAGGATTATAGGAGTGAGCCACCATGCCGGGCTCTGTAATAACAATTCTAAAATTTCTTTTCTGCAGTACTTCCAAAATACCTCTTAACAAAGGAATGAGGCCCAAAAGCATGTAGATCATTATTTTGCAAACTTTGAGGGGTGAGCTATAAAAGAATTTATGGATTCTAAGCACCATTTTAAAAATCTACAAAATAGAGCATATGGCTAGGTAAGGGTATTGTTTTGTGAAACTTGTTTTCCTTTTGTATATACACGTGTTATTAGTATGTGTGTGTGTATATATATTTCTTTTTTTTTTTTGGAGGGGAGTACCGGGGATCGAACTCAGCTCCTTGCCCTTGGGAGGCAGGCACTGGAACCAATGTATTTCGTAATGTGATTCATTGTCAAAATTTTGAGAAACAGTAACATACAAATGCTTATTCATTTTCCTGTCTTAGTCAAAAGAGATTATTACTATGCTTTTGCTGTGTTTTAAAAATTATTTATTATTAATATTGGAAATTGAGTCCAGGACCTTGGCACTCAGCTACATCCCTTATCTTTCTTTGTTTTGTATTTTGACACATAGTCTGGCTAAGTTGTCCATGCTGGGCTTGAACTTGTGATCCTCCTGCCTCAGCTTCCCAGGGTGTCCTCATGTCTCAGCCTCCCAGAGTGCTGGGTTTATAAGCCTTTGCCAACATGCCCAGCTAAAGATTTTAAATATTTCAACTCACACTAAGAAAGTTTAACTGGAGCCTTTTCAGACGAAACAATTTACTGTGTATGACACACTCCTGATATTTTCTATTTTATTTTATTTATTTATTTTTTTGGTACCGGGGATTGAACTCGGGCCCTTGCACTTGTGAGTCAGGTGCCAGAACCACTGAACTAAATCACCGGCCCATGATGTTTTCTATTTTAAGTAGATGGATTGAGATCTACAGTTTAAAATATACAGCATTCTAAACTGGGCATGGTGCTGCATGCCTGTAATCCCCACACTCAGAAGGCTGAGGCAGGAGGTTGCTGTGAGTTCAAGGCCAGCCTGGGCTACATAGTAGTTCAGCAATAACCTAGACTACACAGCGAGACCCTGTCTCAAAAAATAAAATTAAATAAATAGGTATAGTGTTCCAGATGGACTTCTCAAGCTTCACAGTGCATAAGAACTGCCTGTGGGTCTTGCTGAAATACTGCTTCTAATTTTGTGGGTTGGATGGGGCACAGGAATATGTATTATAAAAGCTCCAGAGATGTTGGTGCTTCTGATCTGAGGAATGTGCTTTGAAGAGCAAGGTTCTAGATTTTGTTTCTTTCTTTGAATCCACTTTTACTTATTCATTGCTTATAATTACCAGTCTCCTTTCTTACGCTTTCTGCGTTCTAACAGATGTCTGTCATTTATCTTTTTTTGCTGCTTTTCTTTTTCTTCCTTCCCTCCACAACCCCCTGCTTTTTTTGTTTCTTGAGTCAGAGTCTCACTATGTAGTTGAGACTGACCTGGAATTCACTATATAGCCCAGGCTGGTCTCAAACTCACAGCGGTCCTCCTGCCTCAGCCTCCTGAGCCCCTGCTTTTTTTTTTTTTCTTTTTGGTACTGGGGAATCGAACTTGGGCCCTTGCACTTACAAGGCAGGCGGCAAAATCACTGAGTTAAATCCCCAGCCCTACCCCTGCTTTTTTTTTGAGACATATTCTCGCTATGTAGTTCAGGCTGATCTTGAACTCACTATGTAGCCCAAGCTGGCCTCAAACTTGCAGTGATCTTACTGCCTCAGGCTTCCAAATGCTGGAATTAGAGTTGTGTGCCACCACTCCTGGCTCTGCATTTCTTTATACATTAAATACATATAAAAGTAGTTAGCTTACAATATGAATGATAGTTTTTATTAGGGTTCCTTTGTGAATTATTTATGTATCAATTTTGTCTCTATAGTGGCTAACTCCTTTCCAGTCCTGTTTTAGTACTATTGGGCATTGAACCTAGGGTACACTGAGCTACATCCTCAGCCCTTTCTATGATTTATTTATTTAGGTATCGAGGATCGAACTTGGGACCTTGTGCTTGTGAGGCAGGCAGCAGAACCACTGAGCTAAATCCCTGGCCCCTCTATGTTTTATTTTGAGGCAGAATCTTGCTAAGTTGTCCAGGTTGTGATCTTAGTGGCTTGGCCTCCAGCCTATAGGGAATTACATCTCTGTAGCAGCACACCTAGATGTAGCTGGCTTGCATGTGTTTCTGTAATCCTTTTTAATTACATCCATCCTGATTTAAATTTTGTCACCTCACCTCTGTGGTCCTAAAATTGAATTCCCAATGCCCATCTCATGTTAATCCCATCAGTCTTCCTGGTATCTGGAAAGCAGTTCTTTAGTATCATTTTCCTTTTATAGAACCTCATTTTTAAGATGAGACCCATTTATTCTTTCCATTCCTATTACCCTCATTCTGGTCTTTGGTTTTATATATATATATATATATTTTTTTTTCCCTCCTCTGTGGTATTGCCAACCAGGTTTTCCTACTGCCACACCTTCTCTAAAGTGTATAGTCTAAACCAAGGTATGGCGTGTAGGACCATACTATGCACATCTTCCTTAAGCTCCTTTGTCATCATATCAGTCACTCCCTAATACCAGATTCTGCATTGATTTCCTGTTGCAGATTACTTTGGCAAAGTTGTCTGTGCTCTCTGAGCCCATTTCTCGAAATCTTTTTAACTTTTCCCAGTACTGGGTGGGGACTGAACCCAGAGCCTTCGCACTGACCTACATCCAAACCCTCTTTATTTTGAGACAAGATCTAGGTAATTCACTAAATTCCCCAGGCTGGGCACAAACTTGGTATCCTCTGCCTCACCCTCTCAGAATGCCACCATGCCTGGCAATAGGCACATTTCTTAAGCGTTCGATTTAATGAGTTTTTAGCAACAACATAAACCTGTGTAACTACAAATTTAAAAATACTTTGACCACTACCCCTCAGATGTTTCATAGGTTACTGTTGCTTGTTCTAGAACTTTATATAAATGAAATTATTCTATATTTGTTGTTATGTCTGGCTTCTCCCAGCATAATGTTTATTGTTTCTGTTATTTGTTTCTTCTTATTACTGAATAGTGTTCCATTAGATGATTATATCAGTTTGTTCAGAAAAATTCTGTTGATTGGCATTTGGATTGTTTCCAGTTTCTGTTTATCATGAGTAAGATTTCTCAGAACATTGTTTTATAAGTCTTTGTGGCAAATGTTCTTATTTCCTTTTGGCTAAATACCTAGGAACAGGCCAGGCGTGGCCATGTATGCCTGTAATCCCAGCACTTGATTGCTGCAAGTTTGAGGCCAGCCTGAACTACATAGTGAGATCCTGTCTCAAAAAACCCGTAGGAACAGAACTGCTAGTTCATGTTGTAGGTACATGTAACTAAAACTACAAACAGTCCTCTAAAAGGTTGGACCATTTCACCTTCCTTGTAATATCTGACCTCTCTACTTGCTCTGCTCATTCCTAACTTTTGTGGATCTCAGGGTTCAGTGCTTCTGGATATCTCAGGCTTAAACTGAGCAACATTAGTTTTCACTCACCATAGTACTTTTTCATTGGCCCTTGTATTTGGACAGTAATACTCAGTGTGACACTTCCTTGCATACTGGTTTCTTCTATGGCACTCTATTTCTTGGTTGTAAATCCTCACTTGAATGTTGTCAGTAAGGTTGAATTACTTTTTTTTTTTTTTTTAATTCGGTACTGGGACAGAACTCAGGACCTTACACTTGTGAGGCAGACAGAGCAGCATCACTGAGCTAAATCCCCGGCCCAAGGTTGAATTACTTTTGGTTTTTTGTTTTTTTGGTACCAAGGATCGACCTTGGTTTTGTTTGGTTTTTTTGGTACCAGGGATTGAATTCAGGACCTTGCACTTGCAAGGCAGGTGGTGGCACCACTGAGCTAAATCCCCAGCCCTAAACTAAATCCCCACCCCTCAGGGATTGAATTTGGAACCTTGCGCTTGTGAGGCAGGCAGTGGAACCACTGAACTAAATCTCCAGCTTAGCATATATTTGTTAAATAGTATTGAATGTATTGCCAGGTCAAGAGATCATATTTGAGGAAAGAGATCCGATGACCAAGAATATTTTGTAAGGGCTGGGGGGATTAAGCTCAGTGGTCCTGCCGCCTGCCTGGCAAGTGCGAGGTCCTGAGTTCAATCCCCAGTTCTACCAAAAAAAAGAAAAAAAGAATATTTTGTAAACTGGGCACAGTGGTGCACAGTTGTAATCCCAGCTATTTTGGAGGGAGGCTGACTTTTTTTTTCCCCCAGTACCAGAGATTGAACATGGGACCTTGCACTTTTGAGTCAGGCAGCAGCACCACTGAGCTAAATCCCCAACGTTTTTGAGTCTTTTTTTTGAATCAGAGTCTCACTGTGTAGTCTTACTGAGAATTCACTGTAGTCCAGGCTGACCTCAAACTCGTGACAATCCTCCTGTTTCAGCCTCTTGAGTGCTGGGATTACAGGTGTGCGCCACCATGGCTGGCTGGGAGGCTGAAAATTTGAACAACAACAAAGGGAAGGGCATGTGTACCCTTCACCAAGCTTCAAAAATTACCATCTCAAGGGCTGGGAATTTAGCTCAGCAGCACTGTACCTGCCTTACAAGCACAAGGTCCCAAGTTCAATCCCCAGTACCACCACCAAAAAAAAAAAAAAAAAAAAAAAAAAAAAAAAAAAAAAAAACGCAAAAAGAAAGAACATGTAGTAAATGTTGACTTAAATTACAAAATGATAATCAATAAATTTTACCCCTTCTACAAATATTTACTGACTGCTTATATGTCAAAAACCATGCTTTGTGTTTGGATTACAAAGATGAATTGAACAATCTTTGTCCTTTAGGAAGCTGAGATAATGTTGCAGAGGTTAACATTTAAACAGCTAGCTGCAGTTGGTATTAATGAAAGTCTTAAGTGCACGGGGGATAAGTGTTGGCATCACACAGGAAGAGATCTTATATAAAAGGTCCTTGAAGTTTAGGAGACTGAGGTAGGGTAACTTGAAGCTAAGAAATGGCCCTAAACTAGATAAAGCATGGTATATTCACTTTTTTTTTTTTTTTTTTTTTTTTTTTTTTTTGGACTGGGTATTGAACTCGGAACCTTGCACTTGCGAGGCAGGTGGCGAAACCACTGAGCTAAATCCCCGGCCAAAGCATGGTATGTTTATGGTCTGGGTCACTGTAGACTCTTGTAGATAGTATTTTTTTTCAATACTGGGATCAAACCATGTGTCAGACTAACACTCAACCACTGATATACACACCTAGCTCTCTTGTCAACAGACCTTTAAGAACAAGGAAAGATGGCTGATTACATTCATTATTATGAAGTTTATAACTAATACAGTCACTACATTTACTGCATTTGGATATCAGCAGTCCTTAGCATACGGAAGAAGTCAGGAAGATCAGAGTTGCATATAGGGTTTAAGAAGCCTAGAACATATGAACGAGTACAGTGTTAAATTCTAGAATTTAAAAATTGGTCAGTGTTGCTGGGTATAGTAACACATACCTGTAATCCCAGCACTCAGGAAGCTGAGGCAGGAGGGTTGCCAGGAGTTTGAGGCCAGCCTGGGCTACATGAGTTCAAGGCCAGCCTGCACTACAAAGGTGAGACCCTGTCTAAAAAAATTTTTTGATCAAGTTTATTTCTGGTATCCTTTAGAATTTTTGAGGTATCTGAATGTTGATTTCTGGAGTTGATATTTATACTAGAATAAAAACCTTCCAACTTGAAGGAATATTTTACTTATTGTCATACAGCCCCCCCAAAACATACCAGTGTTCTCACTGACTAGACGCGTGGAAGAAGTAGTAGATAACCTGTGGGATTAAGATAAATGCTTTGAGAGCCACAGATTTGGTTCATTGGCACCACACCTGCCATAGCCAAACTGTCTGTAAACATCCAGAAGATTGAATCTAGATCTATATATGTCATGATGTACTAAAATAAAATCAGAGGGCCAGAGATTTAGTTCAGTGGTGCCACTGCCTGCTTCACAAGCACAAGATCCTGAGTTCAATCCCCAGTAGCACCTTCCCGCAAAAAGCAACAGTGTATAAAATAAAATCAGTCAGGCATGGTGGGACACTTGTAACTCCAGCACTGGGAAAGCTGAGGCAAGAGAATCTCCATGAGTTCAAGGCCAGCCTGGACTACATAGCAGGGCCTTGTGTCAAATAAATAAATGTATGAGTGAGTGAGTAAACCAGTGAATGAGCTGGATGTAATGAGGCAGGGCTTTAATACCAGCACTCTGCTGAGGCAGGAGTATCACTGCAAGTTCTAGGTCATCCTGGGCTACATAGTGAGTTAGGCAAGCAAATAAACAAATTTTTAAAATAGGTACAATTCACTGGAAGATAAAATTGGTAAAAAATTTTTTGTTTATTTGAGACAGAGTATCACCGTGTAGTTCAGATTAGTTTTGAACTCACTGTTTAGCCCAGGCTGGCCTCAAACCTGCCTCACGAGTATATATAGGCATATGCCACCATGCCTGGCCAAAATTGGTAAAATTCTCGAAGACCTAGGGATAGGCAAGGACTTTCTGAACAGAAACCTAGTTGTACCATAGATAACATCAAGAATCAACACAGGGATTATATCAAATTAAGAATCTGCACAGGAAACAACCAACAGAGCTAAGAGATAACCTACAGAATGGGGAAGAGGTTTTGCTTGCTAGTGCTCAGAGAGAAGACTGATGATACCTAGAACATATAACAAAGAACTTCAAAAAAGCAGACCCTCCCCCTGAAATTAGAGCTCCAATTTTAAAATGGACAATTGAAATGAATAGACACTTCTCAGAAAAAGAAGTACAAATGGCCAGTAAGTACATGAAAAAAATGTTCAACATACATGCCCATTAGAGAAATGTGAATTAAAACAACACTTAAATTCCATCTTACTCCAAAGAAAATGGCCATCATCAATAAATCAGATAATAGCTGGGGATTTAGCTCAGTGGCATGCCTCAAAAGCATAGGTCTTGAGTTCATTCCCTGGTGCTGCAAAAAAGAAAGATATCAAGTAATAACCAAGGCTGCAGAGAAAAGGAAACCCTTCTGCATTGTTGGTACAGATATAAGCTAATACTTCCACTATGGATATCAGAATGGAGATTTCCCCAAAAAGCTAAAAATAGAAATTCCATTTGACCCAGCTATTCCCCTTCTAAAGTATCTTCCAGAATGAGTTAAAGCACAGTGATATGTGCATGCTCATGTGCATAGCAGCACAACTTAACAACAGCTACATCTATGTGTCCATCAGCACAAGTGGATAAAGAAATGCAGTATTTATACCCAGTGAAATACAACTCTGCCAGAAAGGGTAAATTTGAGTCATTTGTAGGAAGCTGGATGAATGTTTAGACCATAATATTAACTAAAATAAATCAGAAAACAGAAGCTTAAATGTCACATACTTTCTCTTATATGACAAACCTAAAGTAAATGATTTAAAGCAAAGTAAAAGAAATATGACAGGAAAATGGAGATCTTCTGCAAGTGGAAAGGGGACCGAGACATGGAGGGAGGGGAGAAGGGGAAATAAAAAGAATTCAGATGTATTACGATCATATACAAACTCCCTATAATGAATGTAATCACCATGCAGTGCAAACATGTATTAATTCATTTTTTGTTACAAATTGCCAGGTGTGGTGGCATGTACCTATAATCTCAACACTCAGGAGGCTCAGGCAGGAGGATCACTGCAAGTTCCAGGCCAGCTTGTGCTATATAGTGAGGCCCTGTCTCAAAAACTAGCTCAAGGCCCTGAGTTCAATCCCTGGTACCAAGAACAAAAACAAACACAAGAACTAAAATTTCTTTTCCACAGCTTCTGGGTGTGGTAATAAATCCCAGTAATTCCAGTACATTGAGCAGCTGAGGCAGGAGGATCTCCAATTGAAGACTAACTCATGCTTAGTGGCTTAGGGATACTCTCAAAATTAAAAAAAAGGCCGAGACCTTGGGTTAAATCCCCACTACCACCAAAAAAACAAACAAACAAAAAAACAAGATTATGGTAAAGAATTTGGAGGGCTGAGAATGTAGCTCAGTGATGCATCATCTGCCTGACAATCAGAAATCTCTGAATTCAATTGCCAGTACCAAAAAACAAAAAAAAAAAGGAGTAAGTCACAAGATAAAATTAGTGTTAGATTTCAGAATGACCATTTACCAGAGGTTAGCATTTCCTCTCTCCTGCAGTGAGCCCATCATGAGGTGAATCCTGAGTGTGCATGGACATGAGAAACTGCCCTGAGGATGAAGCAAGTTGTAATGTATAGGGAAAGGATTAAATATTTGTTTGCTGGAAAAAAAAAGAAAAGAAAAAGCCTGAGACTAATTCTGAAGGCCCTGGTGCCCATTACTAAAAGGAGAAAAAAAAAAATAGCATAAAACCATTTGCTGAATACAAGTACGTTCAGTCCTTCTGATTCTCCAAAGCAGAGTTGCTGGAAATGTGCATATCTCAGAAAACAGATCCCCAAAGACTAGCACAGGAATTTTTACCTAGAAGACAAATTGACATCCAGATTTTGGATGTAGGACTTATGAAACTTTTATGTTTCAGACGCTGACTGGAAAGGAGATTGAGATTGACATTGAACCCACAGACAAGGTGATGTATGCCCAACACCTCCCTCTGTCCTTCTCCTTGCCTTCTACTCTTACTTAGGACCCTGATCCTTTTATTCCCACGCTGACTGCTCTGCTGTTCTTTCCATTTCCATGGTTTTATACACAAGCAGCCTCTAACCACTTGTGCTTCTTAAGGTGGAGCGAATCAAGGAGCGTGTGGAGGAGAAAGAGGGAATCCCACCACAGCAGCAGCGGCTCATCTACAGTGGCAAACAGATGTGAGTATGGAGGGAGAATGAGGGCAGAGTGATCTTATGTGAGATGAGGAATAAGCACATGCTGGAGGTGTATTGAGCTTTCCTCTGTTATTTTGTTGTTGTTGTTGTTTTGTTTGCTTATTTTTGCAACACTAGGATGAAATCCAGGAGGGCTTACCAGTGGGAGCTACATCCCCAGTCCTTTATACTTTTATTTCAAGACAGGTTCTTGCTAAGTGGCCCCAGCTCAGTTGCCTCAACTCCCCAGGTAGCTAGGATAACTGGCCTGTGCCACTGTGCCCAGCTTGTGTTGCTTTGTTAATAAATTAAGTAAGATCTGCCAGGTTTGTGGCACACACATGTAATCCCAGCACTCGGGTAGCTGAGACAGGAGAATTGCCCAGAGTTCAAGGTCAGTTTGGGATATATAGTGATTCCAAGGCCAGCCTAAACTACCTAGCAAGATCCTGTCTCAAAATTGCCCCCCTCAAATTAAGATCTACTCATGAGTCTAATACCTGCCAAAATTTTGAAATATTGTCAAGATACCTATAGTTGATATATGATATGAAAATACCAATTTCTATTAACAAATTACTCATTGCTAATACTATAGTACTGTATATTTTTTGCCTATGTATAAAATAAAAATGGATATTACACTTAGGGGTTAATAAAAATGAAGATAGAAATTTTTCTCATCCAAGTTCCCAAAGAGATCCATGAAATGTTAAACACTTCTGCTCTACATGGTATTTCTAATGCGTTTTTCCTCCCTATAGGAATGATGAGAAGACAGCTGCTGACTACAAGATTCTAGGCGGCTCTGTCCTCCACCTGGTCTTGGCTCTGAGAGGAGGAGCTGGTCTTAGGCAATGATGAGTCTTCCCTCTACTTTACCTCCTTTACCCTATCGCTCGTAATGAAGCATATGTTCTCTCACTGGCTGGGACGACCAAGCCATCGCCCTCTCTCTTGGCTGCCCAGTCTTGTGTGTCTACTGGTGGGAGACTGTGAGGACCCCGGGATGCAGTGCTCTTGGCCCAAAGTGCCTTCGCTGGCTATTGGGTTTTAGTTTGCAGTCCTGTGTGCTTCCCACTCTTATGGCTGTGTCCCTGGTTGTCAATAAAATATCTCCTAACCTCCTGGAATCTTCCTTCTATTGCACAAAGGTGACTGAATTCAAACTGGGCCCAGTGCTAAGCAGTTACAGTAGGTAGAAGAGTAGGCCAGCAGAAGGCCCGGGCTCTCAGAGGGATCATCAGACTCCACCACCTCTCACTGACTCCTGAGAACTAATTATTGGTACCTCTTCCCAACTCCATGTTAAGTGAGTGTGTTGGTTGCAGTGTTGTTAAGTGGCTGTGCTGACTTGAAATTGGCCATGGTAAAAATATTACAGGTAATGGGAAACACTAGGAATCAGACCCCTACTTCAATCTGGTCAATGTGTCTAGCAACTTAGCACTGATATTTGTGTGTGTGTGTGTGTTGTACTGGGGATCAAACTCAGGTCCTTGTGCTTGCAAGGCAGGCACGGGAACCACTGAGCTAACTCCCCAGGTCCAAATTGGCACTGATATTAAGGAGAAGAAACCAGAGTAAATCCTCCCACAATGGCTTTTAGACCTGTGGGCTTTGTTGAAGAAAGCTTGAGGGGCTTTACAGATACTACATTTTGGGGGGTTTCTGGTTTTTTGGGGTTTTGTTTTTTTGTTGGTTTTGTTTGTTTGTTTTTTGTTTGGGTAACAGGGATTGAACTCGGGTCCTTGTACTTACAAGGCAGGCAGCGGCACCACTGAGCTAAACCACCGACCCTGTTTTGTCTTTTTGAGATGAGGTCTGTGTTACCCAGGATGGTTGTCAACTAACTTCTAGATTCAAGTGATCATCCTGCCTCAGCCCTGGAGTAGCTGTGCCTGCAGGAAGACAGTATTATACATGGCTTCAGACACTAATCTGTATGGATGCAATATTGCTGTCAGTTCTGTACTTCACATTGTCCAGACCCTGGTGTGGAGAAGGTTGAGTTAGGAGTGGTAAACTTTGAGGGGATCGTCTCAATTAGCAAGATAACACGACACACAAATATAGGAGGGTGGCCTTAAAATTGGCTTTGCTACTGCACACCTCTAATCCTAGTTGTCAGAGGCAAGAGAATTCCAAGTTAAAGCTCACCCTGGCCAACTGATAATTTAACAAGACTTTCTTAAAAAAAAAAAAAAAAGATGGCACTGTAGATCAATACAAAGGTCTGGATCTCAAAAACTATACAGGAATCAATTAGCAAGATAACACGACACACAAATATAGGAGGGTGGCCTTAAAATTGGCTTTCCTACTTCACACCTCTAATCCTAGTTGTCAGAGGCAAGAGAATTCCAAGTTAAAGCTCAGCCTGGCCAACTGATAATTTAACAAGACTTTCTTAAAAAAAAAAAAAGATGGCACTGTAGATCAATACAAAGGTCTGGATCTCAAAAACTATACAGGAATAAAATAAACTCTCTGGGCCAGGGATTTAGCTCAGTGTTTCCACCGCCTGGCTCGAAAACACAAGGACCAGAGTTTGATCCCTGGTACCAAAAAAAGAAAGAAAGAAAAACTCTCCAGTATCTGACTTCTAATGAAACCCAAAGTGGGGTGCAATAGAGAACAATGCCTGGGGCCAGCCCTTTGGGACCCTGGCCCTTGGTTCTAGGTCCTGTCGCCTTGGAACCTTGCTGCAGGCCTTCCCATTAACCTGCAGGAGGCGCACGAGGTATCCCACGGCAGGCGCCCCGGAATCACACGGGACATTCTAGAAGCCCTTTCTTTCTCAGTAACCAAAATTTCTGCGTGCGCCTGGTAAATCTGTCATGGCGAGGCTCCCAAAGCTGGCAGTCTTCAACCTGGGTGAGGGAAGTTCTGGGAGTCTCCTAGGGCCCTGTCCCCGGCCTCTCCCCCAAGGCAGCACAATCCCCGCGACCCCAAGGCCGAAACTTTCCTTCCTTGCTCCGCAGATTACACGCTCTGGCCTTTCTGGGCGGACACGCACGTAGACCCTCCCTTCCACCAGAGCAGGTGAGGCACAGAGAGGGAGAACAGGGAGGCTAGGAGGGGCCTGGCCAGTACTGAGCGTGCTCTCGCCCTCTCCAGCGATGGATCTATACGGGATAGGCGGGGCCAGAGCATCCGACTGTACCCCGAGGTGCCTGCGGTTCTGGAAAGATTGCAGAGCCTTGGGGTGCCCGTCGCGGCCGCTTCACGGTAAGAAGAGCGACTGGCAACGATTGCTGCAAATTAACTGAAGGATGCGAGCACTCTGGGACTTTTTATGTAACGCCCTAAAAACAATGTTTTTTCGTTTTATTTTTGTATTTTTTTTTTCCCGGTTCTTTGAAAGAGGTTCTCACTATATATGTAGTTCAGTCTGACCTTGAACTCGCTATGTAGCTCAGGCTGGCCTCAAACTCATGGCGATACTGCTGCTTCAGCCTCCCAAGTTTTGCAATTACAGGCGTGGGTACAGAAATTTAAGAGGTACACTGGGTACAGTGGCACAGGCCTAAAATCCCAGCTACTCAGGAGGCTGAGATTGGAGGATCGCAAGTTTGAGATCAGCCTGGGTCTGGGTGAGGGCTTTCTAAATAAAAAGGGCATGGGATGTAGCAATGCTCAGTCCCTAATTTAAAAAAGAAAAAAAGGTTTAGGGACCAAAAGAGAATAGAGAAAGGTGTGGAAGAGAAAAAGGATTAAGATATGTTGTTCTCTGTGTACCAACTCCCCACGATGAATGTAATCATTTATGTACTACAAACCTGTACTAATAAAAGTAAAAAAAAGTTCAACCTTGCAAATATTCGTATATATTTCCTAATTCTACCCTCTCCTGTACCTTTTACTTACTAAGCAATAGCTCAGCACCACCTGTGTCCCACAGAAGACAGTGGAGCTCAGTGAGGGATTGGGAGACTCAACATCCCGTAAAAGGAGTGAACTGGCTTCCCCTGCTTGTACTTAACCTGTGTTGCACCCTTCACTCCTAATTGTATCCATTACACCCTTTTGCAGGACAGGTGAGGTGGAGGGGGCCAACCAGCTACTGGAGCTCTTTGGGCTTGTCAGGTACTTTCTTCATCGGGAAATCTATCCAGGCAGCAAGGTTACACACTTTGAGAGGTAGGCAGGGGTAAGGGTAGGGGCTGGGCGAGCCCCGATGCCAGCTCCCTTACCCCTGGGTGTCTTGCACAGGTTGCAGCACAAGACTGGAGTTCCCTTCTCGTAGATGATCTTTGATGATGAGAAGCGGAATATTGTAGACGTCAGCAAACTGGGTACATCAGCAAATGGGCCGTGACAGTAGACACTTGCGGGGTGAAGAAGCATTCCAAGGAGGGAAGAGTAGTGATGTACAGGGTGTACAGTCTGCATGATAGGGGACACCATAAAAGGGCGATAGTACCTGGGGATTTAGCCCAATGAGATCACGCCTGCCTCCTAAACACAAAGTCCTAAATGCATCCCCAGTAGCAAAAAAAAAAAAATGACAGTAATAATGGGAGCCCTGAAAGCTTTATTCCATGTGACTTCTTTTCCTTCTAGGTGTTATCTGCATTCACATCCAGAACGGGATGAGTCTTCACACCCTAACTCAAGGATTAGAAACGTTTGCAAAGGCCCAAGCTGGGCCCTAAGGTCTAGGCCTATGGATGTGCCTCATCCAACGCGTAAAACTGAAAGGAAATCAAGAAGGCATTCTCAGGTGCAGTTGTACTTTATTAAACTTTATCTACGTGAGATAGAAAAAGACCTTCTCCAAGGTGTGGATTGTTTCTATTTTCTATTGTGAATGGAGTGGTTGTCCTGACATGCCCAGACGAGAGCGTGGGATTTAGACCCACAAGTTCTGCCTTCTACACCCCTTAACCCAGGCTGAGATCCGGAGGTCCTGCAGAACTCTCTCACAACACGCGCAGAGGTGCCCTCCCAAAGCACATTTCTTTTTAGGGAGCCCAGACGCCTTGGGGGTGGGGACGATCTTTTCAGGCAGTAGAAAGGAAGCGGGCCCTTTAAGAACGCGACTTCTGGTCTGGTTGTGGCTCTGGCACGTGACTGCGTGGAGTCTCTGCGGCTGCAGATGTCGCTTTAAAAGGTGGCGCCCAGAGAAGGGATTGGCCCAGACCCTGTGTGGCTGTGAGAGCCACGGTCCCGGAGCAAGGCGGAAGTGTGGGGCTCGCCAGCCGAGGGCCCAGGCGGAGAACGGAGGTCGCGATGAGTGGGCTCCACCGACTCTTCGGGAGGGGTGAGCCCGGGAGAGCCAGGCGGCGGGAAGGAGCTGGCCGAGTGCTCCGGGCC